TAAGTTGGCAACTTTGTATGCTGGATCAGCCTCATAAAGGGTCAGACAAGCACTAGAGCCAGCACAGAAGAGACAGGATGTGAAACTGCTGCTTTAAGAATACTCTGGCACCAAAGAAGCAAGTTAAAAGCATAGTGTTTTCTGAAAGACCCCCACTGCTCTCTGAACCTGCTCATTAACGGTCCATTGGCTTTCACAGCAGACTGTTCACTTATTCTCAAGACTGTTGGGAAAATAACATTATTTACTTTATTGAAAGAAAATGAATTATTTATCTGGAAAAGGATTTCCTCTGTTAGCTAACTAAACCAAGTTAAAGCTAAATTTTATTTTTTTCAAAGCTTATGAGAATTTCTAGATATTCCTGCTTGTTTTATAAATCCAAATAAACATATTATGAGTGTAACAATCTGGACTGTTAAGCAGCCGATAGCTTCAAATCAATAAACCCCGCTGAGGGTCAACATGTAAAGCTATGCATCTTATGACCTACTGTCATGTTCAGAGGGAATTCCACTGTGAATAAATGCTATTTTTCTACTTGCACGCACACTTCACATCCTGTTCTTCACGCACGTGTTTTGGAAAGAATGATCTTTGGTAATACAGTTCTTTTTTTGTTCCCCCAGAGAATGATTCTCTGCTTATCACCTCTCTGAGTGTATGTTCATCACTGTAATATCCAAAAGTGAGGACTGTGTTATTTAGCAACAAACTGACTCAAGTAGAAACAAACAGAAGTACCTCTCATCAGCAAAACCTGGTGTCTGGTACTTTCAGGTGCTACAGGGAGGCAACTCTCACATCCATGCCAAGATGAAGAAGCTGCCACTCGGGTCTGACCGTTATTACCCTAAACTGCCTCTCACATCTGAGCTCTCACCATCCAGTTAAGTTTTCTAGATCCACAATACAGTTCAGTCAAGCCCGAAACACATCAGAAACAGCCCATCTGACACTTCGTAGCAGAAGTTCAGGCACACAATAACCTTAGAGCATGCATTTCCTCTTCCTTAAGGCACTATCACAGTCTTTTCTGCTACTAGCGTTTAAAGCTTTCTAACCTTGGGAAGTCTCTTCAGTGTTCTGGCAAGGGTGGTGAAATTCTAACAGTGGGAACTGAAGTTTGAAACTGTAGAAGTTGTAACATTCTAGTGGTATTTATGGAAAGTGAGTATATAGACTAGTTACTTTCATCCTACTACTCAGAGCTTTTGAGGGTAACATCGGTAAGACTACAGTATAATATCTAAGGCTACATGTGTTTGTGTGTGTGTTTTTATATATATATACCCCCCCCCTCGAAAAGTCCAAATTCCAAGTGTAGAGTTCAACACAAAGGTTGAGTTAAAGGCGACAATGCCTTAAGGTGTAACTAACAGCCCCCTCTTCTTTCTCTTCCTGGTCTCTCTGTTCACCCACTTCAGTCCCCTAAAAGCAGGTATGATCAAAGGCTACTGCTGTTAACAGCCAGTAACAAACTATCAACTCTGCTGTTTGAATTAAATCCACTGAGGTGGATTTACCAACTACTGGAGTGGTGGGAACTCAGCTGGTCATTTCTGAGTATCCGCTTCATAGTTTGCAATAATCCAGGTTTTCTGGGCAACCAGAGGCCAAGCGATCAAAGTTTCACTTTGTGAATTTCACCAGTGTAACTAACTGCTGGTCTACAGAGGCATGATAGAGCTGCAGCAAGCAGTTTTAAAAGTTGTTAAGATTTTAAAAACGCTAATATTTTGATAAACAATCTGTTTTCACAAGTACTAAAGATGCCTACAGCACAAGCCAAGGGACATTTCTACAAAGGTGCTGTCTTATTTCATCCAGTGTTTTATGTTTTTCCAGCTTTGTTTCTTTTTAATTCTCTCAAGCTGGAAAACCAAGTGCCACTAGATAAAAAAAGCTACATTCAAAATGATGCCAAAGTAACAAAAGCCAAGACACAAAACACCTTCCTTGGAACTGCCTTGCTACTGCAACATATATTGCAGTAATTATTGCTTAAGATGACAAACAAAGCTCAAATACTGCAAGAAACATAGCACAACACACATCCTTTATTTATTTTGGTTTAGGCTACAGTATGAGGTCCTGCTTTATGAAAATTCTGCATTATCAGCTTGAACTACGGAGTTCCTCAACATCATCTGAGCAGAGCAGAAGTGCTGAGAAAACACACCCAGATTCGATCTCAAGTACAGCAGTACCCTTAAAAATGTAAGCTACACATCAAAAAAACATGACTGATGTCTTCGGCAACTTCCTTTTTAAAATGAGGTAAGTTACTATGTATTAGTCTCTCGTAGAAGAGACAAACACGTCAGCTCTCGCATCATTTTCCTATCCCAATTTTTCAACCAGATTTTCCAGCATGCATAACAGAGTTAACCTCGCTAAAGAAGCGGCAGCAAGCTAAAGCTGCTACCAGTATCCAGCTGAAAGTGGAAATTTGAAACTCGCGAAGTTACAGGCCCGGCTATGACAGCGCCTGCCGGCCAAGAGGAAAGCGGGCGCGGCGAGGGCTTTGCACAACTCGGGGCAGCCCCTTCCCCGCGGCCCCTCGTAAGCACCCCGGATTCTGCCTTCCGCGCCGGCATTTGCT